TTTAAGTTTAATAATAAAATAATTTATTTTTGGTTTAATAATATAACATTTTATAAAGATAATAATTAAGTATTATGTTAGAACTCAATGATTATATTTATCTGCAGTTAGTTACACAAATTCAGATATGGAGCTTTAATAAGTTAAACTTACACACAATCTACTTGTAATATTGAGTTTTAAGTAACATGCATTAATAAACAATACTTTATCAAATGTTTTATAATATAGTATAGATAATGTATTTGTTGTTCACATTAAATCATCTTATTTCAAAAATATCTTAACAAATAAAAAACAAACAGACCCCTAAATCTAAATTTGGGTATTATACCAGGTTTTAAGGCAATGTTGTGGTCGTGTCCTCTTAGGAGGAAAATGTTAGGCTAGTCGCTAAAGGTGATTCTTTTTCTGTTCTCTATACAGTCTGTGCAGCATTTCCACGATATCGTTACGATCAATTAATGGGACTTGGCCGGAAAGTGTTCTTGCCTCTATCATTAACTCGGGTAGTCTTCAAAGTTTATTTTTTTAAACCACAAGGGTGGTGCCTTATTGATTTGAGCTTGGCTCCAAAGGTCAAAAGTACCAGGAGGTCCCAGGTTTAAATCCAAGGAGGAACAAAAATCCCCTTATGGCCACGGAAGTTTAAATGCGGTGACTCCGGCTATCTGCAAAGCAGGTGGTCGCCTTGGGATTGGTCGATTCGCATAGCAGATTGGATATCCAGGTTAATAAAAAAAAAAATATTTGTGTTTACAAACATAATATTACAATAAATAACAAAAAGTTATACCTAAAATCAAATTTACACAATCTTATTATATTTTTGATGTATTTTTCATCTTCTTTATATTTTGTGTGTCTTACAGAGAATAGTTAAGGAGTCAGACGGAAAAGATATTTGACAGCTATCATTATCGTTTAATAGTTTACTTATTTCATTATACTGTAGGTTTATATGTTGCATAGAGAATAAAAACCTAAGGGTATATGTGTCTTTTCATTATTTCTTAAGAAGTCATTACACTATTCTATAATGTTTGAAGGACACTAAAATAGTTCAACTTTTGTTAAAACTTTATTTTACTCGCATGTGGAATATAAGTAATACGAGAAAATTAATATAGAATTGTTACTTTTAACATGTATAAACAATTTTCTAAAAGTTGGATGTTTTGAGTTATGGGTTAGAGGTGATCATTTGCAGGGCTGAGTCGGGCTTAACTTGTTTTTTTGTCCAACGAGCTTAATATTGTAAACTCAAGCCCTTTTTTTTCGGGATGACAACTTGCTATTGCCCGCCCTATAAACGGGTCGGGCTTGTCCATGGGCTAACAGGTCTAAAAAGTGTAACTCTTATAAATTTATAAACTTGATCATTAACAATTAATTAACAAATGTGAGACCAAAAAATAAAGGAAAAACACCGTTGCAATTAAAATTTAAATAACTAAAGTGACACATGGATCTCAATATGGAGAAAGAAATGAAAAACAAAATTCAGACTTCCATAAAATCAATAATGCATTCCTATTTTTTATACATAACATTAATATTCATATTTCCATGGCTCCATCATGCTACTGCCAAATTCAAACATCTCAAGTTTTGATCGAGAACTTCCATAATTATTTAACCAAAGAGTCTCATCCTATAAATTTAATAATTTAATTTTAAAATATACTAGTATTATTTTAGTTAATGGTAAAGAAATATTAATTATAAAATATAAACAGGTTGTGCGGAGTTGTTCATATTTATTTTTACATTCCCCATGTCCGCCCGTTAATTTTAACGAACAAACCTGAGCCCGTTTATTTTCTCGATAATGGTTGTCCAAACCCGTATTTCTAGCGGGTCGGATGGACCAGGTCTAACGGGTCGTCCCGCCCCTAAAGAATTCTATTATTGGTGCATTAGTAAGCTCTTATCGGGTCCTATGCTACTTCCACCACAAATTTGTAATCACATGGGGTAAGTTTTATCAACGGCTCATCTAAAACTTTTACCAAGCGAGTGCACCTTTAAAATATATTAAAGGTCTGTAAAGTTGCAGTTTGATCATGTGGAAAAGTTAACGTGGTTTAATTCTGGGAAAAATCAATTTTGTCGATTTGGGAACAAAATACATTTTTCCAAATGGAATCGATATTTTGAGAAAGACGGAAAACCCGATGCATTTTTAGCCGAATTCTACCGTTTCAAGAGATATTTTTCAGTTTTTTGGTTGATCCCTAGATATGTTTTTGAAGTATTTTCGGTTGATTTCGAGGGGTTTTTTCAAAGTTTTTTGTTGATTTCAATGAAGTTTTTTGGTTTATTGGTTAATTTCAAAGGGCTTTTCGGTTTTCAAGTTGACGTAAATTGTAATTTCTAAAATCCTGGAGCATCCTTTAAAGTTTAACATGTGCAAATTCTTACCTCACAAGATATTCTACTTGCACGAATCGGTTGCACGGATGGTTCCTTCATAGTTCCGCCTCTAATTTTTACAGTTCTTAATGATATATATAATATTTATATACAACAAATACCCATACCCATACGTATACCCACTCCTCACTTTTGGTGAGTTTTGAACTCTTGACCCGTGGAAGACCGGACTTTACCAGTAACCCAAATATCGTTAAACCAACCAATCATGTTGATATTTTTGAATTGGCCTCCGATTTCAGTAACGATTTTCAAAATATAAGGACCAAATCAAGCTAATGATTCTAGTTTTGCTGCATGAAACTGAAATTATTGACGAGTGTGCAGGAGCAAAGATTCAGGCTGTGTATAAAGGGGAAATTTTTACTGTCTGGGCGGAGGAGGAGGGGGTAAGGTAAAATATGGTTTTCCCAAATGGAATTTAACTGGGAATATGAAGATTGTGCAGACACTTTAATCAACCAGTGGGCCAAAGGGATCTTATCAAGTTAAAAGAACACAATATATGAAATCAGAGATTGACAAATGGAAGAAGCCAAAAGGAACAAAGTTTTGGCAATTATCTAAATCTTAAAACAATCCCACAATCACATCAATCAATCTCATCTAATTCCTTCCCCTTTGCCTTCTCAAACACCCATTCATCACCTTATTCACATAAATTGGGTGTTTTCAAGATTTCTTGAAACCATTCATTCATTCATATGTGAATGTGATGGATTCACTGTCTTTTTCATTGAAGAAAAAAGAGGTAAAAATATTCTCCATGAGTGTAACAATATAGATACAGACAATATCTAAACATAAAGAGGCTATAAAAGACAGCCCACTTTCTGTCTCAACCATCAGAAGTATTTCATTTAATGATTTAGGGGGTTCATCTCAGTACACCCACATAAGAGAGAAAGGTTGGAACTTTTTTAGTCCCCCAAAGAAATTTGATTAATAAAGCTGGGGGGGGGGGGGGGGCTGGTTGTTGTTTTGTAGTCAGGGAAAGGAGGTAGGGGACCATCATGTCCTTTTAGTAATTTCACTTGGGTAGCTGAGTATATAGGTTTTGTTGCTTTGTATAGATCTTGCAGAGGTCTATTGCTTTGCAAGATTTCAAGCTTTTCAATGCATGCTTACACATATACCATATTTCTAGAGAGAGAATCTTTTTTCTATCTACCAACATTTTAACCAAGTTTCAAAGCTCTAAATCCTTTCTCTTGGCTTTCCTCATTTTGCAAACTTCTTTAAATGCTTATCACCCTTCCTAAACTTTCTTGCTTTTCTTCTTCTTCTTCTTCTTCTTCTTCTTCATCCAATACCCTTTTGCTGCTTTTCATCTGCGTTCTTGATTTCTCATTGAATTAGAAGAGTTGATTGGTGAGAATTCTTAGTAATCTGTGAAAACCCCATGTCAAAGATTGGGTTTTTAACAGTTGGGTGTTGTTAATTTGGCTTTGTTTCAACCATGGTGTCACCAGATTCTTCTTCAAACCCTAACAGCATTCATCAATTTCTGATTTCAAACCCAATTCCTAGTCAAACCCACTATGAAAGTCAACCTTTTGACGTTTATGGAGTTGACTTGAGAAGTCTTGGTTCATACCCCCATCAATCTCTCAATGTACTTCCTACCATTCAGTCTCTTGGTGAAAGAATGTCAAGATCAATTGACCTCATCCAAGCTCCTCCAATGGCGGATAATGAACAAGACCTCAATCAACACCACCAGAACCAGAAACTTTCACTCTCTTTAGGCTCTGGTTTGCTGTTTCCTTCTTCAACCCAATACAGAGGAGGGAGATGGAACTTGATTTCTGAAGAAGAATTACGAGAAAAAACTAGAAAAACTTTTAATCCTTCAGATTATTGTTCTTCTTCTTCTTCATCTTCACTTCATCAATCTTCTTCCACATTTTATGGAACAGAATCCATCTCCATATCAATTGGTTCTTCAAGATACTTGAAACCAACTCAATCTTTGCTTGAAGAAATCGTTAGTATTGGTGGGAAAGATCTTGATTCAAGCAACAAATCATATGCCCAGAAATTATCATCTTCTGGTTGGCAAGGATCTCTAGGATTGTGTTCAGAATTAAAAGCAGAATTATGCAGCAATGGGTTGTCAATGGAGAAGCAAGAACTTCAAGCTACATTGGCAAAGCTCATTTCTTTACTAGAAGAGGTAAATTTTAACCCATAATTCAATAACTTTTTCATCATTTCTTCATCAAAAACCCATAATCTTGAACTGTTTTTCTTGGATTTGTTTTCAGGTGGAGAGAAAATATGAGCAATATTATCAACAACTAGAAGATGTGGTTTCTTCATTTGAATTGAATGCAGGTTTAGGATCAGGGAAATCATACACTGCACTAGCACTTAATGCAATGTCAGGACACTTCTCCGGCTTAAAAGATGCGATTTTGTCCCAAATCTATGTGACCCGAAAGAAAATCTTGCAAGATTTGCCCAAAATCAACACGGGTTTTTCGCAGCTCAGCTTGTTCGATAAAGAAACCAATAGACATAACCGAATCGCCCTTCAACAGCTTGGAATGATCGCTAGCCCACGACAAACTTGGAGACCCATTCGCGGTTTGCCTGAAACTTCTGTCATGATCCTTCGGTCTTGGCTCTTTGAACACTTTCTCCATCCGTAAGCACGATTATATAGACATACAGATCATATATCTATAGCTATATATATATATATATACAGATCAAGATTTGATTGATTCTTGTCACTGTCACCACAGGTATCCAAATGACAATGAAAAACTTATGTTGGCATCTCAGACAGGATTGTCAAAGAATCAAGTAACTAACTTTCTGTTTACCGTTTGATTTAAGTGAATTAAATCTGATTCTTGCTGTTAATTTCTAATGTTACTGAGGTTTTGTTTTTCCAGGTGTCGAATTGGTTCATAAATGCTCGAGTTCGACTGTGGAAACCGATGATCGAGGAAATGTACAAGGAAGAATTTGCAGATTCATCTGAGGATTCAAACCTGTGACCACAGAACCTGGATAATGAAGGTGTTAATGTTGTAGGGTTGGTTTTAATGGTGTTTTTTTTGACAGTCAAAGAGTAGAGAAATGCATGCAAACTTTTGTCATCAAGTTAATTGAATGAAAGTGTCCTCAAGTTGAGCTTTTCTGACCTCAAAAGGGTAACCAATTAAGTGTGCATTAATGGGTCTAAAAGCATCTTATTTTGTGGCAACCAAGTAGCACCAGTACATGTGACTCTTTTTCATTTATGATGACACTTTCAAAAATTACTAATTTACCCATTGTAATTATCTGATTCTGATACCAAAATAACCAAAATATACCTAATCAACGACATCGACATAGTATAGTATGGTTAAAACATAATCAACGACGCAGTTTGAAAAAAGAATCGTGCTTGGTCCGAAAATGGCAGATAAATATTGAACCTCGAACTGATGGTTTGGCCTGAAACAAGACCACAATGATGCGGTCAATAAAAAACATCCGGGTTTGGATGGGTCTGTAAAGAAAAGAAAAAGAGAGAGGAAAAAGTGAAGTAACCGATTTGTAAGGAAAAAAATAAAAAAATTTGGACCGATATTTCTTTTGTCTGATGAATACGACTAAAAAAACCCTGGTTTTTATCCGATCCGATCTATTGGGCCCGGTCCAAATGAGGAGTTCCAGTGGCAACATCGGAGGCGATGAAAGATTTTTTTTAAGTGGCGACATCATTTGATTATAAGAAACAAATATATGGATTTTTATAAAATCATCATTGATCTGTTGTTAGTTCTTTGCCTTTTGCATGCGATATCTTGTGTTTGAGTCTTTTAATGTAAATTTTTTCATAAACGGAATTCGAACCAATGGTTGGGGTAAGGGGAAAACTATGCAAACCAATAATACCAAGGTAAACTTGTGTTATTATTGTAGTTTTAAAATATATCTAGTTGTATACAAAAAATGATATCATGACACTTTTCACGACCCTATAATTTTTTATCTTAAAGAAAAATGAAACAAAGGCATATGACACCGTATCCAATAGAGTGGGTGTACCCCTAGACAACATGATATAGGTTTTCCATAAATGTGGTAAAAATTGTTGTCATGTGCATAGCAACCTAGCAAAGTATAAGGGCTGAAATTAACAATAACAAAAAATTTAGGGTGCAAAATGTAATTTGGAGAAAACGGCGTTAAGATATTTCAACTGTCACCGGAAGCCATGAACGACGATAAAGCTAAAGCAAACCTACTTAATAATCACTTCCAAATTATCCATTAGTTTACTATAATGAGTGCATGCTTTCATTCAATTGTGAAGCCTTTTCCTCTCTTTTCGCAATTCGATTCATATCGCTGCACTTGGAACCCTAATTTGACAACCCATTTTTCTATACAAAATTACAATAATAATATTACAAGGGATATATGTCACCGTCGTTTTAATCAGTCCATTAGAATTTTAGAACATGGTAGCGGAGTTTTATCGCCCGCCGATGACGATATAGAAGTTCCCTTTGCGGGGGGAGTATCTGATACCGACGGCGAAGTGCCGGATACCGACGACGGAGTGCTTCAGGGACTTGTAGATGTGGAGGAGGATGACACAGAAAGTGCTCTGAAGGATCTCTCAACGAAGAGATTTGCTAAGAAGAAAGGAAACGATGAAGAGGAGGATGGAGAAGATAGTCGGTTCAAGCTGCAAAACGGCAGGGAGGTTCGTATTTTCGCTGATTTTTGATTTGGTTCTTAGTTTCTTCCGCCATTGACAGCTTATTGAATTTTCAACTCCAGATTGTTGCATTGCATTTGCAATTCAGTACATAGAAAACTGGAAATGATGGACAAAAGTCAGTAGTTCAGTATTTTGTAACTATTACTAAGCATCAAAGATATAATTTGGGTTTGCAACATCTGTCATGAAAGGAAACATTGCATGTATTGAGGCATTCAAAAGAAGTCTGTTATATTTATCTTTGGATGGACCCAGGAGTTAATTCCTTGAAAATTGAACCTGTAACATGAATGGAAATGGGCTGCAAAGAGATGATTTCTTCAATAGAGAAGATGAACCAATGTCCATAGTTGCTATAGGGTAAAAAGAATTTACCCTTTTATAAGCTTAAGCTTGGTGATTTGTTTTGGAGTTTGTCGACAAGGTAAATGACCACAACAATGATGTTGTTTCTACATGTTACAAAAATAAAATTTCTTCTTGTTTATATGCAATTTGAAATTGTTGATGGGGGTGGAACATCAGAGTCTCTTTTTACCCGAGCTTTGTTATTTTAGAAAAATGTAAAACAAATAAGGTCCTGTACCAAGTTGTGAAGGAATTCCATGTTGAACTTGAAAGTTGCAAGATAGAAAGTGGAAACCGTCAGGGGTGAAGAAATTAGGTAGCAAGATAATGTGCAATACTCATTTACAGCATGCACCCGACACCAGCATGTTTTTTCTTGATTTTTAGAGTGACAGCACAAGATGCTAGAAGGAATGCCATATATGACGTGCTAATATTTTCAAGCTGGGTGTAATGTGCATGTGGCGATTCCTAGTTGAATGTTAGTCGCCAACCTGCTTGTACAAGAGATGTATGATTCAGTCTTAATATTATCAGGTTTTTGAAGAGAAAGCCTACCTTGTAGGTGTCGCACGTAAAGATGATACAGAGGAGTTATTTAGCTTTGAAGAGTCACTCAAGGAACTGGCCCAACTGGCTGATACTGCTGGACTAATGGTTGTTGATTCCACATATCAAAAGTGAGTAATATATTTCTTTCCTTCTAGCAACATGCAATTTTACCAGTTAACCAGCTTGCTGATGACCAAGTTTGCGATGCATATGGCCATTTGAGTTTTAGTTTGCAATTTACTTGCTTTGTGGTTGTAGAGTAGTAGCGGCTTTACTGTCTGTGTTTTGAGTCTTTTACTTTGGTAATGGCCTATAAGAATCTCTCATTTTGTTTGGTGGTGGGTGCCAAATTAAGAATTGCTTGGAGGAATTACCTCATCACTGGCCTATTTGCTTCCATTATTGGCATTTAAACTACACCGCTGTCTCAACTTTTTAAATTGATAACCTGATATCATTGTTTATCACGCCAAACTGAGAATTTAAAGATATATGCTAGCATGATGAGGGCCAAGGCAACCTTGTTCCTTACCTTCTTTTGCCCTTGTGTGGTCCCATTGTTATTTCCACTAGGACCACCATAAGTTACGACCTTCGAGTAATGGCTCCCATGGCTCATCTTTCTATTTAAAAAATCCTTCCCTAAAACGATGGATTTTTAATTTTCAATTTTCAATTTGAATAGGGCAAGACCTTCAATAGGAATCAAATTAGTTGTGGAGGACCTTTTCACTTGTTCAGTATACTATTAGCTTATCCTACAGATTTTTAAGGATGAAATTAAAATTTCTTGCAAGGAATTGTCAACCTACAATTATTCGAAACTGATAAAAAAGTATATTACATCCTCAATTTATGGATGAGATATTCAATTGATATCGGCTCTGATGAGCAAATGAAAGCCTCAAGATGGCTTCAAAACATTAAAACGGAGATTGTAGAGAGAGTAAAAATGAGAGAGAGTGTCATTGTATTACATTTACATCTATGCAACTCACTTGACTAATCTTGGCTAGCTACAACTGACTTACAACACACTTCTAACTGTTGACTGTACAAGCATTACTTCTAATACTCCCCTCAAGATGACTTGTAAATGTTTGTGAGAGTTATTTTGGATAAAAGGTAAGAAAAATTGTGGATAGGGAGAGGTTTATTAGAAACCACTGAACAATATGGATAGCATCCGACTTGTTCTTCATCAAGTATATACATGTATAATGCATACAATCATCAACAAGACTGAGGAAGAATTTGTACCTAGTATGAGATCAGATCTGATGTGATAAGACCCGATTCAGCCAACAATTCACCTTCTGAAATCAAGTTAAACTTGAATGGTATAAATAGAACACTTTTGAGGATAATATTACCTAAGAATCACTTCACCAGCCATTGTGACTGAAACCTGAGTATGATCTGGCAGGGTAACCATGGTTTGTTGAATTGGATGCAACAAAGAAAATTAATCTAGTTGGGAACAAGTGTGTCGTGAAGCACCTGAATCCTAAATTGGAACAAAATAAAGGATTTGCGGTTGCAGAAAAATTGTTACCTAAGACATCTAGACTCCAAGCTTAGGAACAGGAACTTTGTTTGAATTCAGATTGGCTGTGCCCTCAAGATGACTTATAAATGTTTGTGAGAGTCATTTTGGATAAAAGATAAGAGAAATTGTGGTTAGGGAGAGGTTTAGTAGAAGCCAGTGAACAATATGGATAGCATCCGGTATACATGTATAATGCATACAATCATCAACAAGAATGAGGAAGAGTTTGTACCTAGTATGAGATCAGATCTGATGTGATAAGACCCGATTCAGCCAACAATTCACCTTCTGAAATCAAGTTAAACTTGAATGATATAAATAGAACGCTTTTGAGTATTATATTACCAGTAAATCACTTCACCAGACATTGTGACTGAAACCTGAATATGATCTGGTAGGGTAACCAAACGTTTGTTGAATTGGATGCAAGAAAGAAAATTAATCTAGTTGGGAACAAACGTGTTGTGAAGCACCTGAATCCTAAATTGGAACAAAATAGAGGATTTGCGGTTGCAGAAAGATTGTTACCTAAGACATCTAGACTCCAAGCCTAGGAACAGGAACTTTGTCTGAATTTAGATTGGCTGTGGTGAACATGCCTTAGTAAACAGCCGATATTGATCGGTACTCAAGCTCTTGACAAATTCTTCAAAAAAGATTCCGAGTAAAAGTATGAGACAACGATATTAGCAACAATTTGTTTCTGAAAATTATTTTTAAAGGGATATCCATTTTGGCCTAATTATTGATTAGAAGATTTAGCTTGTATGAATCGCTATTGGTTTGAGGAGGATGTCTATGTACTCCGTAACAATTGTATCCCCCAAAATTTTGCAGTGCTTCCAAGAAGGCTTATCTGTATGCTGGGTTTTGGAACCACTATCATTGAATCCACCATTACCTTCACTGATATTTCTTGATCCTTGCATATTTGTGTTTGCTTACCTTTCTGTGTCATTTTAATAGCAGCAAATGCCACATTATCAGACGTTTTAACCATATCACTGATTTTCCTTTGTTGTTCCTTCCGAACAATAAGGGAAAATACTCGGTTTATAGTGGGCCTCAAATCCATTAGGAGGATCTGCTGTTATATACAGGTACTCGAAGTCATATACACGAAGATGGTAGCATTGCTGCTGCCATATTGATATTATTGTGCTCCATACTGTTACAATATATATGTATATTTTTTTTTGTAATTGCTAGTCCTCTAGACAACTCGGTTCCCACCCAAAACCTAGTTCTTAACTCTAACCAGAGTTAGTATGTGTGTTGCAGTGAACTGTGTAGATATTAGGCTACGTGTTTCTTACAGTCTTTTTTTACAGCTCTCTGGATCATACATCCAAAGTGGCCATAGATTGTGTTTATTGGACTGTTAACCACTGAACAGAAGGATCTGTAACAGACTATTAAGGAATGGGGCCTGCAACCAAATAGATATGTACCATAACATTAGACTATAGTTTAATATTGCTTTGTGATTTAAAGCTGCATTTTGCATCATTCATGAGCAATTTTACATTCTCTTACTAAATTTTGCAGCAGAATGGTTGTTATATTTGCTTAGGTGTATATATCCATATCATACTCTGTGATACACATATTCATTATGCATTCCAACAGAGTGAATTAATTATTTATGATGCAGACTAGCTACTCCAAACCCAAGAACGTACATTGGATCTGGCAAGGTTGCGGAAATCAAAACTGCAATTAATGCTTATGGTGTGGAGACTGTAATATTTGATGACGAACTCTCACCAGGGTTAGTTATCGATATACTTAATCTGATCATGCTACTCCCTATTATTTATATTCTATCCCCCCTCAAGTTTTGCTTATGGCCAACTGGCATAAATCTCTTGTTAGCTTCCACTCCACTTTAAATTCCAATTGAGGTATTTGAATATGATGCAACAAAAACATATTTTACGACGTGTGTAGATGTAATGCCCCACGTCCTTATATATTGGGTGCCATTACTTTACATGATAAAACATTAAATCTTGAATCTGAACTTGAAATTTAGCTTTATTTAGTACATATCTTGAAATTACATCAAAGAAGAAACTACTTAGCGGAAACGTAACCATAACTTGTAATTGTATTACGACAAAACTTGCTTTTCAACTAAAACCATATTATTTTATGCAAATCCTCCTTACTTCTTTCTTGATATACATACATGAGATATATAAGCTATAAGCTTCATGAGTATTTATGGTTTCATGAATGTGAAATTTTCATGATATTTCAGATATGATAACTCATTAAAGCCCTTGATCATGCATAAAAATATTTTTTGTTATCATGCATAAACATTCATAAAGTCCTATCCTTTATCATGCATAAAACATTCTTTTGAGATCTCACTTGTCACATGTATGTATACCATACTTGTCTTGAGGTTTTGCTAACCCCCGGGGTCCATAAAAGGCTGCCTAATAAGATCCGTTTGCAAGACGTTCCTTCTTGTAATATCCCGTACGTTGGATATTATGGTTATACATAACATGTAAAAAATTTCATGCCTTGTGTAACACATATGATAACATGTAAATGATTTTCATGTCTTGTGTGTATACTTGTATTAAAACATGTCATCATGCATATCTTGAATATGTATGTGTATCAATATTTTCATGTAAAACAAACATGCTAACATAACTTGTCATGCATAAAATACTTTTATATATAACATGCATGTATCTCATAAATCACATAAGTACTCACCTTGATTTGCCTACTTTTCCGTTTGATTCCTTTCTTCAAGCTTAATTATGTAAATATAGAGATTTCTTATTTTTGGTATGCATAAATAGTGACCCGTAAATTCCTATTTATAGATAAAGTCATTGCATTAACTACTTGTTCGTTTTGCTTTCAAGATTGTACTCTTATGAGAGTTTGACACCTTATCAATAAAGATAAGATAATCTTGACAACTCATCTATAAGGATAAGAGAATCTATACAACTCATGTTTCTAGTACTCCTTGTCATGCTTCCTAAACTTGTCTTGTAATCAATAGTCTTGCCAACTCATATTTTTCTAGCCTAAACAACTCGTCACTAGCTTGCTTATTCATGCTTACTAGACTTGACAATTCATCACTAGCTTGCTTAGTCATGCTTACTAGACTTGCCAACACACTTCTAGCCTCAACAACTATCACTAGCTTGCTTAATCATGCTTACTAAACTTGCCGACACACTTCTAGCCTTAACAACTCATCACTAGCTTGTTTAGTCTTATAATTAAGATGTTTCACTAATTGTAACAGCTGCCGGAGTACTTGAATTATTCATAAATATTTGCATTTAAGGCTGAAATATTGAGATTTATCTAATAAAGAAACTAGGGTGTACAGTAGATAAGATAAAAGTATTCTTTGCTCTTTTTGTCCTATATTTGCATGTCGTGGAATTCATTGGCATCTTCCTGTATCCTGCAGTTGATGATGGTCTGTTTGTTCGACTCTTAATGAACCATTAAATGGTTCAGTCAATTATTCATTTAGACTTCTTTTCCTTAAGACGGGTTGTTTCTCCATCCGAATAAATCTTAACAGTTGAGTTTGACTCATAAATATTCATGCATAATAATGTGTCTTAACAATTAACGCCTATTGATCATTTGGTACTCTTATTCATTCAGTTTTATTGAACACAATTTTCTTTCTTGCTTCTATTGAGCTCCTCTTTCCAATTCTGTTCTTGGATTAATACATTTGGTGATCTCATTATTTATATTATAACATTTTCCCCATACCCCCCCCAAAAGAGACACCTTCCTATATTTGGACCATAGGCTGTATGGTGTTTTCCTTGGATTAGTTTCTAATTGTATTACATGTTTTACCTGATTACGTTGTCTGCTTGCATACCTTTGGAACATGCACACGCCATTGAATCCTGATCACCTGTTTTTATTACTTTTCTTATTGCCTTCTTGCTCACACTTTTGTGTCATGCACAAGCCGGGGGTCTTCACAGAAATGACCTCTGGATCCTAGTGGTTGAGGTAAGGCCTTGTACATCATACCCCTCTTGGATCCTACTTTTGAGTGGGATATCCTGGGTTGGTTTCCTTCGATCTGGTTTAGGTAGTATGGTGTTCTTAATTTCAATAACTATTTGTTATGCCCTTGTGTTGCAAAACTAATAAATGCATGTAATTAGGAATCAGACATGCGTCGGTGAGCTGTGGGCATATGCATTATTAAATAATTTATTTGTGCATATATGTGTGTGTGTATATATATAGAAAGAAGGAAGGGTTTAAACGAGAAACAACTATACCACAGGTGATACTATAGGTATCGGAGACCTGGGTGACTTAGGCCACAACCTAGGTTGTGGACGAAGTCGCGCACACACACCTGGTCTTTCCTCCCGTACGCTTTTTCGTATAAAGATGGTGTTCTCGTGTGAACCTCCACCTATATGTGTATATATAGGGTTGGGTTGCGGTAGGAACTCAAAATTTTGTAGGAACCGTAGGAACCACTTTGATACCGGAGGTTCACATATGTTAACATTTCATGTTAAAGTGCATTAACTTATGTTATCTTATGTTAACATTTTCATTTTCACATATGTTAACATTTCATGTTAAAGTATGTTATCTTATGTTAACATTTTCCTTTTAACTTACATTTCCATGTTTAACATATGTTAACGTCTGTGAGGATTTGAACTTATGTGAACCTCCACTAACAAAGTGGTTCATACAGAAAAATTCCTACACCATCTGATTCTATATATATGCCATTTTTTACTTAAATTGGCATTGCTACCTATCTGCTTTTAGCTATGTCCATTAAGTTTCACTATTACACTCTCGACTGTTGATCTGTTGCATAAAGTATTAAATTTTATTTACATACATGGAAATCCCTTAAATATATTTTTTAAACTGTCAATCCAAAAATAATATATTTGTATAAAAGTGCAGACAGTTGCGTAATTTGGAAAAAGCCTTTGGTGGAAATGTTAGAGTGTGTGATCGTACTGCTCTCATCCTAGATATATTTGACCAGCGAGCAGCAACACGTGAAGCTGCTCTACAGGTATATTATTTATTTAGTTCACTTGAGATTTTTTCATGGACTGACAGATATATTATTACTTTTCAGGTTGCATTGGCACGAATGGAGTACCAGTTGCCAAGATTAACAAAGATGTGGACCCATCTTGAGCGTCAATCAGGAGGAAAAGTCAAAGGTATGGGAGAGAAACAAATTGAAGTGGACAAGCGTATTTTACGCGATCAAGTAAGGAACCTTCCTTGCAATATAGATGCATCTTCACTTATTCATATTCTGTAGTTGTGACATGGAATTTTTTGCTGTACCTACTCTGTGATAGATTGGTGTTCTTAGAAAAGAATTGGAATCTGTTCGGAAACACAGAAAACAATACCGAACAAGGCGTCTAGCTGTACCTGTGCCAGTTGTGTCACTGGTAGGGAACAAACAATTTTGAGTTCGCAATTTATTTTGGTATTTTCAATCAATCATATGGCGCCTCTTCACCTTTTAGGTTGGGTACACAAATGCTGGAAAGAGTACATTGTTGAATCAGTTGACAGGGGCTAATGTTCTTGCTGAGGATCGATTGTTTGCAACACTTGATCCAACCACGAGGAGGGTACAGGTCAGCAATTTATTTGGGAAATCCTTGCACCATTACATTTTTATTGCATTTCTTAAAGAACTGCTATTTTGGGGAAGTTACCAAAAAGGGTAATGATCCCTATTAAGGAATCATAGTCATTGCTTCTATTAAGATGTAGCTTTGTAGTTATGTTGTCCTGAATAAGTTGGTAACAAGTGTCGGGACATTATATCACAGTAAAATTACGTTTAGAGTACCGTGTGAAGTATTTTCGTTATTACAAAGTGTTGATGAGAATAATAGATTAATTTTTCCATCAAACTTGCTTCTGAAACATGTGCTTTTTAGCAGAAGCAACAGCCTTGAAGTGACGCTTCCGCCTTTTGCTATTTCTTGGCTATGAAACCATTCTGGAAGTTTCTTATATTTTGGCTTTAAAGAAACTTAAATGACCCCATAGACTCTTTGGTTATCTGGATGCATTTCCTTCTCTGACCTGATAAACCTTGCTTTTGGTTCTTGGAAGATAACATAGATCCTTTTTTTGATGCATTTCAATCTAGATGAAGAATGGAAAGGAGTTTCTGCTTACGGATACTGTTGGATTCATTCAAAAGCTACCAACAACTCTGGTGAGTTCACGGTTGTTTTAATTTGTATATATTTGAGCATTTCTCAACTCAAGTCACATATTGCGTACTTATCTTAGTGTTACGATTATTTTGAGCTAAACATCCATGCCTACTCCTCTCTTATCGTTAGTTTCAAATTGCACACAATTTATTTGTCATTTGACACTTCTTAGAGCATCTCCAATCGACCGGCAATTTTAGGGATTTGCCGTTTGGGAGCTCTCGAATCGGCTGGCAAATGGATTTAGGTTTTGCCGGTTGTCTTGTTTGAACGGCAAATATGCCGTGGTATCTTGAACGGCAAAAACAAGTGGGGCCCATTAATTTGCATTAAAAACCATTTTTCATTTTATAATTTAGGAATAAATAACATAAATGTTTTTTTTGTTTTTATATATATTATGTAAATTAATATATATATATATATATATATTTATTTATTTAAAAATTAAATTCTAAATAAGAGAGAAAATTCAACATTAACATCAAATAACAAAATACAAATTTATAACATAATTTAACATACATGATACCGGATAAACGTAAACGTAGTTTCATAACGGAAATTTTAAAAACTAAAACACATAAATTAAAAGGTCCATTGGTTTCCGTTAGCCATATAGTGACTAAAGTTTCCTGCTACGTTTTGAGAGCTTTCGGCTTGGTCTTGAACTCCTTCTCCAAATTCTTGATGTTGAGATGCTCGATATTGAGATCCTACGTATTATGATCTTTGTCCAAACTTATGAACCTGGGGTTCTGTTCTCTCTCTCTCTCTCGCTATTCGAATTTTTTCATTTTTTATGAACTCATAACACAGGATCAATGATAGAATTTAGATCAGTGAACATAATTTTGTCATCCGCCAACCTTATTATCTATTGCATTTTTCTGAGCTTGAATCTCATTCCTTCTCATCATAACTTCATTGTTTTTGGTTATACATTTGCTCGTCTTTTTACTAGCCTTGACTAGAGTCTCTAGCTTATTATCAGATTGGAGCCTTGATTTTGCCTTTTTCACACCAATTGGTCTTTGAGTTAAAGCACTACCTTCTGCGTCGTGAATAGTTAACAAGTCTTTATTAAATAAATTAATTAATAATTATTTATTATTATAATATCTATTACAAATTATAATTATTGTTATTAAAAATAGTAAATAAAATATGTTATTTTAATGTGGGGTCCACAAATTTGGTGGTTTTTTAGAGTGTGGTTGAAGTTGGGTTTTTTTTAGTGTTTATGGGCCCACCATATTTGGTGTTTTTGGTGTTTTTTTTGGTGACATGGTTGGAGATGCTCTTATTGTAGGTTGCTGCCTTCCGAGCAACATTAGAGGAAATATCAGAGTCATCCCTTCTGGTCCATGTGATAGATATAAGGTAAGCATCAGTCACTAATCATGCTTTCTTACATAAGTCTTGTATTCTAATCAAGTATTCCTACCGAGTGCAGCCACCCACTGGCCGAGCAGCAGATTGATGCAGTAGAAAAGGTTCTTTCGGAACTAGATGCTTCATCAATTCCCAAGTTGATGGTGTGGAACAAGGTGACTATATTCTGTCCTTTCTAGTTATTGAATCCGGAACTACGATACTCAACAACTATTGGGTTTCTAATTTTTTTTAAACAATTCTCATTTGATTACCACAAGTTTTACTGGGCAATCTTTATTAGAAGTTTTCCAAAAATTTAAAAGATTTTCTTTGTAGCTGTTCAGCGGGTTCTTTTTTATGATTATTGTTTCCTTTCTCTTTGATAACTACATAATCTCTTCAACTGCTCTATGACAGGTCGATAAGGCTAAGAATCCTGAAGAATTGAAGTTAAAAGCCAAGAATGTCGAAGATACTATTTGCATATCTGCTCTAAACGGTAGCGGTTTGGATGAATTCTGTAATGCAGTACAGGAGAAACTAAAGGTATTGACTTGATTAATATTTGCATTTTCTCTAATTTTTTCTTTCTGAATTTCAGTTATTATGAATTTTCTTTTTGACGTCCTGAATAAAATAAATATAAATAAACAGGATACTATGGTATGGGTAGAAGCTTTAGTTCCTTTTCACAAAGGAGAACTACTCAGCACCATCCATCAAGTTGGGATGGTGGAACGAACTGTGAGTATTCATATTGACAACATCCGCTTGTATTTATACACTATGATTCTGTTTAAAGAAACATTCATTTCTTCATAAAGTGAAATTTTGGCGGGTATTGAAACTTTCTTGTAGGAATACACTGAGAACGGAACACTGGTGAGAGCATACGTGCCTCTCCGTTTTGCACGGCTTCTAACCCCAATGAGGCAAACATGTGTATCACAATCTCCAACTCCAACTTCTTCGGAGGAAGAGTAAACCACTCAAAAGCAATGCCATTTCATGCAATCATCATCTCCGTAAATACGTTAGCTTCACATCGTCATATAAAGCAACAGTTTCTCTTGGTAACGACTCTCTGCTCTTACTCGACTTTTCAAAATCATATAGTGCTTCTCTAGCCTTCATTCTGTTATGTATAGCTACAGTGATGTGATTCTTGAGGAAAGTACAAATAGAAGCATACTTCTTTCAGAAAACTTGTGTAATCTGTAGGTTTATAGGATTTTTGACCATGATTAAATTGAAGGTTAGAAAGCATGTTGGGGGTTAACTGGCTTATGAATCAAATTCTGACAGGACTGATTATGGATTAGGAAGATAGGGTTAGGGTTGTGGTTTGGACCTAGTTGGTCCGAACCACGGACCAGATCCAAATGTAAAATCTTGGCCCAACCGTGGGAGAAAGTATGAGGCTGGTTCAAAAGGTTGATCATGACCCGTAAGCATGCAAATTTTAAGGTCCGAAATAAAAGCATAATCTTGCCCCAAAAAAAAGTGTCAACCTGAAAGCACCACTTTAGCTCAAATCAGCCGGCAGGGGAAAACATGCATCGAAATGTATGAGGTTCAATAGGAATACAGATTCTTGACTCGGGCCGGTCTACAGGGAAAAGAGGCCGGCCCAAAAGTTCGAGATCAACATAGAGTAAACATGGGTAAATTGGTTAACTGGTAGGGCCTTTAACCGATCCTTACAGTATGTCCCTATAACCGGTTACAAGCCTGGTTACAAAAGGCTTGGTGTTGGACTGATTTCAAATTTGGATATGTTAACTAGTTGGGTCTAACTGGTTGCACTACCGGCCTGATCAGTCAACCAGGCCCGGTTCTGGTTAACCGTTATGGGTTTCAAGGGCCTTGTTAAGGTCATATAGGCGCAAATATGATCTTTAAGCAGATTGATGTGAAATATGAGGACCAATGAAAGTCAGAAGGTTCAATTGTACCAAAAGAGATATGACCTGTAAATATGATTTGCAAACATAAACCGTACAACTACGTTTCAAAGACTGAAAATTAGTTTTTATCTTGTCGTAAAATGTAACTCACAATGCAATGCCTACGTATATATGAAGAGATATAATAGTTACAGACTAGGGGCCGTTACTAAACACTTACCCGATAAGTGCTTACCGGTAAAGTTTAACATTATCATTTATTTACCGGGAAGATTTTAGTCCATCAAAACTGTATCGTATGCAACACTTTACCCGGTAAGTTCTTACGATGGTAAGAGTCGTCGCGTTCACTTATCGGGTAAGACTCCTGGTCCTTGCCTCGCTCTTACCGAATAAGATTCTTTATTCTTACCATATTTATCCGGTAAGGTAATGTGACTTGGTGTTCACTTACCCGAGTAAGCGACCCCTTTCAGTAATATAAAATTAAATGAAAATTATAGTTACAAATTATAATATAAAATACAAAGAAATTGGTTTCGGTTTCAATGGTTTATGGTTAGGGCTTTTATGTTCCACCATTGTTAACCATTAAAAGTTTAAAATTCAAATTTAAGTTTTGATATTCTACTGAAGCCTCTCACTTTTCTGGTGACGATATCCAACGGTAGCACAAAGCGAATCATGGTGGTAGCTAGCAATGTTAAAGGTCACAAATCTACGACAACATATATTAGTTGTATCATGTGACACCATTAACTTACAATTACAGAGATCCGTCCATGATTGGTTTGGTGATTGTTGTTCTACTACGCCAATGAAGCATTGGGGCCTGAGTGAATGAGAAAGAAAACAAGGGTTATTCGAATGTACAAGATTTGATTCAAATGGTACAAGTCATCGGAGCCCTCATAGTCGGTGATGTTCTTCTTGTTTAGAATGTTTTTGGAGGTCGGAGATTCAAGTCTCACCAAATATATACAAGTCATTTAACTTTAACTTTACTGTATATAAATAATGATATATTAAATATAAATACAAATAAAAATAAAAATAAAAATAAAAATTCAAGATATGAATTTTGGATAGGATTGTTCAAAGTGAATATGGTTGTAACAACTTATGGAATAATACTTGAGTGTTTTTAAAAGGTGTTGGATGAAAAAGAAAGGTAAATGGGTGAACAACACCACTTGTTTTTTTTATTTAAATAATTGTTTAATTAATATTTTTATTACTTAAAATTTACATTTATAAAACAATTATATTAACCAACCAATTTTTAATATAGACCGGGATAAAAGTAAAACAATCATTTTTGACACTTTTATTTCAATGCAACAAACAAAAAAGAGTTCAGTTTAATCCAAAAGTACAACTTGATTAACACAACATTAATCATCGGTTTGAAACGAGCGACCAATAGGCCTCGTGGGTTAGACTAGCTAGAACCACATGGATTTTTGTGAAATCGGGGGTTTTTTTTTTACTGTTCAACAGTGTTGTATCGGGAAAAAAAATTACGTGTTTCTTGTTCCTCTGATTAAATTTTCATGTGTAAGATATGGGGTCAATACATAACTGTAGAGGATGATTATATATGTAACTGTAGAAGATGCATACATAAATTAAACATCATTGAGAGAGGAAAAAAAGATAACGTATCAATGTCTTATTATAAGAACGTAGAGGAAATAAGAAAGGGGTAAAAACATATATATATATATATATATATATATATATATATATATGAGTTTAATTAAATAAGAACTGATTAGTTTGTGGTAATTGTGAGATCCAATCTCAACCATAAATCAATGGATAAATTAGGAAATTAATAATTATGGTAGTTTTAGTTAAAATTATAATTAGAGGATATTTTAGGTATTTTTAAAAAACTCCTCTTTCCTCTCTCATCTCTCCAACCTCCAATCTCCGGTCTCCGGTGAACAAAAATCCGGCCGGTACCAAGTAATCACAAAGATACAAAATGTGATACTCATTGTGATAGAATGTGATACTTATTCAAATGGTATCACAGTATATCACAATGAGTATCACATTGTGTATATTTGTGATTACTTGGTACCTGCCGGATTTTTGTTCATTGGAGGCCGGAGATTGGAGGTCGGAGAGTGAGAGATGAGAGATGAGAGATGAGAGATGAGAGAGAAGAGAGAAGAGAGAAGAGAGGAGAGAGGAGAGAAGAATTTTTTAAAAAAATATCTAAAATGCATTCTAATTATAAATTTAACTCAAACTACCATAATTATTAATTTTTTAATTTATCCGTTGATTTGTGGTTGAGATTGGATCTCATAGTTTTTTTTTGGAAGTATATAATATTTATATACGACAAATAGAACAAATAAACTCACACACCCTCCTCACCTTCAGTGAGGTTTGAACCCTTGACCTCCTAGAAGACCAAGATCTCACAATTACCACAAACTAATCAGTTCTCTCTTGAATAAGCCCTATATATATATATATATATATATATATATATATATATATATTGGAGCGTTCAAATAAAAACCGGCCCCATTTGTGTAAACCGTGTAAACCAATCTCATCCATCCATTTTCTTGATCAATGRCCAAAATTAGTTTACTTTATTTTAGGAAATTAAATAAAAATATATATTAAAAWTTTATTTTATTTCAACAGTAAGACATAAATGGTAAACAAAATTTAATATTTGGTAACATCCTACTCGATCTTTCATGAATTTTTTTTCATGCAAAATTATTTTCTTCCAAGATTAGTTTACTTTCATGAATCTTTTTTCATGCAAAATTATTTTCTTTCTTTCGTTCATGGTTTGATGCATTAATTCCTTTAAGCCTTGCAATCTTAAAGATTCTAAAGCATATTACAATCTTCAAGATTCTGGAGCAGTTTCTTCATGTACCATTTCATCATTCAATTATTTCATGACGAACCAAATACATTATGCAACCGTTTCACTAGTCATGATCAAGAACGCCATGAACCAGTTTCACTTTCATGAAACCTATTTCATGTATAATAATTTTTTTATTTCACCACTGATTTGATGGATTCATTTCTTTAAGCCTTACAATCTTCAAGATTYTGGAGCAKRTTACAATCTTCAAGATTCTGTAGCAGATTAAAATCATTTCCTCATTTCATCATGCACTTAGTTCATGACGCATCAAATACAAAATGCACCGGTTTCATTTTCCTCTTCACCAACTAAATGGATCAACTACACAATCAATGCAACGGGTTCAMCATRAAAATRTTTCGGTTCACATAATTTATTTGCAACATGAACCAGTTTCACGTTCATGAAACCTGTTTCATTTCTGGATTTTTTTTTCTTCATCTACGATTTGATGATTTCATTATACACTTCAATTGTTTCATCAAGACCCGTTTGCTGATTCTTAAATATTACAATATATGAAATTCAAAATTTTAATATTATAATATAATTAAATATTTAAATGTTATCATTTATACAATTTTCTTTATTACGTTTCCTTAATTAAGATTTATTAATAACTTCCATATTTAATAGAAAATATTGTAAATGACTGAAATACTCTTATTGATTAATTTTAATTAGAAAAAAATGGAATTTTTCTATTGGTCGAAATTGGTTTATACGATTTCTTAGAAATGCACGGTTTTCATTTGAACGTGCCTTTATATATATATATATATATATATTACCGTGAAGACCAAGACTTGGTCCAAGAGTTGATCACTCCACTCCAACAGGGTTACCAAATGTGGTGACGTATTTGCATGTGTTCTTGGAGCAGGTACACAAAACCACTCCCCACTCCCTCCATTCTCATACCTCATCAATCCTTGAGGATTTCCTCACATTATTTAGTGGTTGGTTTCTATTCTATATACATATACATACATATATATACATGTATATATATATATATATATATATATATATGTCCTCACTTTCATGCATTCAATCACCAAAAACCAATTATGGCTTCTTTCAATCTTCTTTGCTATGCTACTTTCACATACCTTGCTTTGCTCTCCTCCTCTACTTTCTGCTTTGCTTACCCATTTGGATGGGATCATGGTGGTGGCGGAGGTGTTGGTGGTGGCCGCCGCCCCATTGGCGGTGAAACGTATTCTGGACTTCTCCCAGGTTTCTACGGTCACTCGTGCCCTCAAGCGAACGACATTGTCATGTCTGTCCTCGAAAGGGCCATTTCCAAGGACCCAAGAATCGCTGCTTCTTTGCTTCGGCTTCATTTTCATGACTGTTTTGTTCAGGTATACTTCTATTATATAATCCAAGATGTATATATTTTGAGGTGTTATCGATTGAAATTCAGTGACGTTCCAATCTTTTTGGAGACCCTGCTACATCCAAAACTTTTCATTACATTGTATAAATGAGATGACAAATGATATGTGTTAATTAAGAATAAGAATGGGTTAAACTTAAAACGATTAACAATCTGAAACTAAACCTAAACCATTACTGATTTGAACCTAAACCTAAATAATTTCGGCTATAGTTTTACATAGGTCGATAAAAAAAATCCTAAATACATGTAAATTTGGGCCCCAAGATTTCGGAAGCCTTGTTCAAAATCTCACATTTAACATGCTAAGGGACGACTCTGATGAAATTGTAATATTAATTTCAGGGATGTGATGCGTCGGTCTTGTTGGATGATAGCGAAACATTTGTTAGCGAAAAGAAATCGGTGCCCAACAAGAATTCTCTTCGAGGATTTGAAGTGATCGATGAGATCAAGTCTGAGCTCGAAGAAGCATGTCCCGAGACTATTTCTTGTGCTGATATTCTTGCCCTTGCTGCCCGTGGTTCCACGGTTCTAGTAAGCACTCCAACTTAATAATTTATACGTATATAGGTATTATTTGATACAAAACCAATTTATCAAAGCGAGATTTTTGCCCTTTTTGTTGTAAGAATCTAACGGATACTCCCTGATAAAAACGTATGCTTAGAGTGGTGGACCGAATTGGGAATTGCCGTTAGGAAGGAGGGATTCGAGAAAAGCAAGTCTCAACGGCTCAAACAAGAACATTCCTCCGCCAAATTCAACCGTTCAGAACCTTTTGACGTTTTTTCAGCGCCAAGGCCTCAACGAAGTTGATCTAGTCTCTCTTTCTGGTTAGTCAATAACGAAACTACTGCTTAAACAAAATTGGCTTTATAGGACGTCAAATATGTCTAAATATATTAATATATAGACAATTATATAAGATTGAAGTTTTTAGGACCAAACAATTATGCATCATGTGTAAAAAGGTGTTACAATAATTTGTTAGGACGCATTTAGATATCTAATGAGTATTTTATGACAGTTCTGAAATAAAATGTCATATTAGTTTTTTTATACGATAATTTTAAGAAATGTATTATAAACATATCTTTTTGTAATACATTTGTTTTTATAAGATATTTTTTTTCAAATAAGGTCATATAAAAAGCATGGTTCTAAATAACTCATCATGACCTCGTTATGGCATCAAGGCTTGGGTTCGCCGCGTTAACCCCCATGGCTCTACTCTAAGGCTTGGATTGCACGATCTGTAGTGCGTTATGACATATAACAACGCCTCATTTTGTAAGGTGTGAGGCTACTTTAATATATAATTTGAGCGACAAATAATAACTATATATAGATTTAAATAAACATAAAAATGAAACTTAAAAACTAAAACCTTAAATATATAATTATTTACTCACATTCCCGTACATGAGAAGTCAAACACGAATTCTTTGAAAATTGAAAAAAGTAGCAAATAAAGATTTAAGAGATTTAATCTTGATTTTACACTATTGGTATCATTTTCTATAAGCTCTATGTATTTGGTATCAATGGTTCTTCTTCCTTTTTTGTTTTATTACTCTATATGAATTTAATTTGTTCGAAAGTATTATTCAAAACACTAACACATACAAGGGTTGATGGATGTGTGTATATATATATATATATGTGTGTGTGTGTGTATCTGTCACCTTAGGACACGCCTTGAAAAACGCCATGGCCTTGCCATAACTCGTAAGGCTTGAGGCTTGACTTTGCTGCCATGTCATGCCTCACGTTATTTAGAACCTTGATAAAAAGACAAATATAGTGTTTATTTTTCCTTCTAAACTGACTTAAAGAACTTGTTTGGATAATACCCAAAAATGTCCTATCAACTTATTGTAATACCTTTACATATGACACATAAATCCCATAAATATAAGTCCCAATAAAGCAATCGATTAAGACATTTAGAAATATTTGACGTTAATTCAAAACCCATGTTTGTCTTCAATTTCTTCCTGTTTTTTTCTTTGTTTTAGGAGCTCATACAATAGGAATGGCAAGATGTACCACATTTAAGCAAAGGCTATACAATCAAAATGGGAACAACCAACCAGATTCAACTCTAGAGAGAAGCTACTACCATGACTTAAAATCCGTATGCCCGAAAACCGGTGGCGATAGCAACATTTCGCCACTCGATCTTGCATCACCGGCAACATTCGACAACACGTATTTCAAGCTCATTCTATCGGGAAAAGGACTTCTAACTTCCGATCAAGTTCTTCTGGCCGGAAATCTTGGGAAAACTATGCAGTTAGTGAAGGCTTTCGCAGATGATCGTGCTCTTTTCTTCGGCCATTTTGGTCGGTCTATGGTGAAAATGGGAAACATCAGTCCTCTCACCGGCTACAACGGTGAAGTCAGGAAGAACTGTCGTAAAGTTAACTTATGATCGATATGCTATGTGTATGTTTATGAATCTAATGACTCTGATCATGACGTGGTTTCTTGTTGAATTAGTATTATGTAATTTATCAACGCGTTGAGATATGATGGATTTATAATCGAGTTATTGGCGTTGCTTCTATAGCTTTTCACAGTAACGGCAAAATTAAGGGTTAAATACAAGAAATAACATGGTATTGTTTGTACCAACGAGAACTTAGTTGATGACACATGAGTTCTTCTCATCTTTGATTATTCAAATTCTTAACCTAAGGTATTTCCGCCGGTAATATTCAAGCGGAAATAGTCTGCCGGAAATACCCGGTATTCTAGTAGTGACATCTTTTTATGTTATAAAATATTTTTTCAAACAACGTCATATATATAAAAAGACTAATAATGTTTTTTGTTAGGATGCTCAAAAACGTTTTATCAAGTAATTATTGTAACGTAATTACATGGAATGCGTAATTATTTGGAACGATAAACTTAAATCCTATAAAGTAGTTTATTGGAGCATTTAAACATATTCGGTGTTGTAGAAAGCCAATTTTATTGCAACGACAAAACGACCATTTGTCTATACATCAATGGACTTATGTCGTAGAGCCAACGGAGTTAACGCCATGCTTGGGCTGCTCTCGGTCGATGGAAATGTTTGCTTGGCACACGACATCTCTCCCTTCAGTAACGAAAGAACCTGAAAGATTTGGTAACAAAAAAGAACAAGATATGAAGTCGAGAAGACAATCAAGACTCTTCAATGAAACGATAACTTAAACTATATTCGACAAACTAAATGTTAGCCAATAAACTAGTCGCATTTGGTACAAACTAGACGATGATATCTGGATGATAACGTAAAATTACCTAAAACGAAAAGACAAGGGGCATTTATGTACGATATAAAAGGGATAGTTGGAAAAATATGAAAACGAACCCCAAACGAGACTTTTTCAATAGACTTAAAAAATAAGCTAGCATCGGAATCACCTTGCTTATACATGGCCTTGATTTCGGTCTGATGCTGATGCATCGAGCAGCAGCAGATGTTACCACAAATAACCCATGAAAATCATATTCCGACTCGTCATATAATACATGATATGCTCCTTGTTCTAGTAAAGGCCTTGCCTGAAATATGATTCGAAACCACAAGTCTTAATTACTCGACAATTCCAGCATGAACGAAGGGCCATTTACCAAACATTTACCTAATTTTTTAACCGGGTCATTTATCTTACACAGGATCAATATAACATGGTAAGAGGGAAGTCAACTTGTAAGTGAGGGTGATTACTCTTATCCCGTAAGTGTTTACCGGGTTATAAACGCTTACCATCAATCCATTTTAATGTTACCCTATAAGGGTAAGTGATAGCGGTGACTCTTACTGATAAACACTTACCGGTAAGCGTTCGGTGACGGCCCCTAAGCCAAGACATGAACTTTTGACTTTTAAGGTCATCTAAACAACTTTTCAACTTTAAGATTCATTAGGATTATGTACATTTACAGTAAAATTATGGTAAATTCATTAAATCTTGTAGGAATTACTACAAAATAGTATCTTTTTGATGTCCAATTTGATGCAAAATTAATATGTATTTAGATGATAGAAAAGTACTATGTTTGACCTTAATAATCAAAGTTCTGTAAACTAGGAGTGTGAGTAATTGTATTACCCATGTAATCAAACTTTTATCATCTCTTGGAGCAGATCTGTTGCAAAACAGCCTTAACAGCAATAACCCGAATGCGAGAATGTCCGATTTCATTAATGCCAATGACTTTGGATCCGAAGGATGCTTGTGCCCACAACTTTTCATGCTCGAAAACAAGAAACCGAAGCCAAATTAACCTCAAAATCGATGATTTTATGTCAAAATTTTTGATGGAAAACTAACCTGTTACTGGAGGTAGGAGATGATTCCTCAAATTCTAGCCATTTGGCATGGCCAAAGCCTGTGATCTTTAAGAACAACAAGAAGCAGCACATGTCAATGATGGAACAAGTGTTTGCTCTTATAAAATAAGTCCTATAAAACCCGATTTTATTATAGTGGATGAAGCATGCCAACCGAATCTACCTGAGGTTGTAAGTTGTGACCCAAGAGAATGTTGCATGGTCGTAAATCGCCATGAACGACAGGTCCTCGAGGACACTGTTCGTGCATATAACGTAAACCTTGAGCTATTCCAATCGCTATGTTCATTTTACCCGGAAATGGAACTTCCAACTCTTTTGTCCAGAATCCTAAACAAAAAACAGTTGTTAGTTACCAGCAACCCTAACCAATTCCACACGAAACCGCTTTCAAGGACACCAATGTGTAGGGACATTTTTTGACTCACTCAGTGACTGAGGCTAGCCATGAGGGGGGACGGACCAAACCCACGACCTGACTTGTATTTGAGGCAAAGTCGTCCCGCCTCTTTACCAACTGAGCTATACACCGAAGGCAAAAAGAAATGTTAATTAAATGCTGTTCTATGATGTTCTTGAGTACAAAAGGGGAAGAAATCAGTCACCAACCATTAAGAAATCTGTCCATTAATGAACCTCTGGAAGCATAAGGAAACACCAAAGCCATTGCAGTCTCATTCTGGTGGAAACCAACCAACCCAACAATGTTCTTATGGCACATAGTCAAAGCTGCCTTCTTTTCAGCTTTAAGAACGTAATTAGATCCAACACCAATGTATCTCTTCACGAAAATCGCTGAAGATCGATTGCCGAGATACCCGCTATACATTTGAAAAGCTTCATTCGAATCGAGATGAATTACGCTACTAAACTGGTCTGTGATCTCCGTGATAACTTCCCAACTTAGCTCCACTGGGAACCCTATGGATGCTGATGATATCATGTTGTTTTCTAGGAATCGAGTTGCGTTTTTGTTCGGGTTCTTAAACATTCCGAAAGAGTCTGTTTCTCCTGATGATTCGCTTGTACTTGCAATGCTGGAAGAGCTAGAAGAAGGTTGGTATATGCCTTCAAAATTTGGTAGGGTGCAGCATATGGGTTTTTCATCGTTATAAGATGATGTTTTCTTCTTGAATCTTGAAACTTTTTGGGTCTGAAAAACTGCGTTTTCGACTCCTGAAGATTCCGAAACATCGCCTGGAGGCTTGCAGGTGTAGAGAAGAACTTCTTCATCCTCGTTCTGTGACGATAATTTCCATCTTTTTTGAGATATCCATAGTCTATTTTCCATTGCAAAACCCCTAAASAACATCAACTTATATCATAACCAAATTGTACGTCCTAATTAAGTAACGTGTAATTACAATAAGTTAATATGACGTTTTTTGAGCGTACTAACAGCTTTAGTGTCGAGAGAGTCGTAGAGAGAAAGAGACCTTCCTATAACAACCGAAGTTGCTCCTGAATTGTTTCTTTCTTCCATAACAATCGCGTCTAGCGTTGATCCAGCGATAATCTTCACCGTGAACTTGACCTGAATAATTTGGAGCAAATAAGCAAAAAAAACACGATTGAACTTGAGGTTCATATACAGTTCAAAACACAGGCTAGACAGACACAAATTGTCTCGGGGGCAKATCGTTACAAATTGTCCTAGAATGTCAAGTTTCTAGAGTCGTAGACTTTGGCTCTCAGATCAAATGATAATAAGTGGAACCTTAGATATTTATTCTCCTAATGAACCATTTAGGAAAGAGATGCTTCGACGTATATAAAGGAGAAATGGTCTAAATCTAGCCGATCTGGGATTCTACCAGTCTAATCAGTCATATTAGAGCGGAATTACTCATGAACATAAAAAAGATGAAGAAATCTATGACTTTGTGTGAAAAAAGGATGGAATTGAACTTACTCCAATGCTTTTGCATTCTTTATAGAATGGTCTGAAGATCCWCATATATGCTTCAGTTCCTTGACTGATCTCCTCTCTAAGAATTCTAATGTATCTTTCTTTTTCAGCTGGTTCATCATTCCGGCATTCGCTACTACTTCCGATACAACAACTCGAAACAACGGGCGACTGAATCATATCGCCCGAATTAAAGATGACAAGAACCACCACCTGATCCTCCGGCTTCACCACCTGCAGRAGTGCATAACGCAGCGGCRAAACACCACCCGCCTCCCGCAAAACCTTCRGTCCATCCAAAACAACAATCAAGATCTTTCTACAATCCCTCTCTTCTTCTGTAAACATAGTACTGTGCTACTAGATGGATTCAGGTATTTCTGATCGTTATATATA